CCCGCGGGGCGCCCGGCCGGGCGGCGTGGGCTGCAGGCCGGTGACTCCGCGTGTCCCGCCCAGGGCTGGCCCAGGGTCCGCAGACGCCCGCCTCCGCCGCGGGTGGCCGCTGACGTCAGGGAGGCGAAACCCAGAAGGAAAAAAAGAAAGGCACGAGGGCGGAAGGGGGAGGTGGTCAAGTCTCAACTCTGCCTCCTTAAAAAGCAGCTGGGCGCAGCCCTTTTCTTCCTCTTCCTTCCACGAGAGGAAGCCTAGTCCTAGTGAAACAGGCCTGGGACCTAGTTCAGGGTTTCTTTGGTCCCTGCGATGCTGTCTTTGAAGTCAGCTTCAAAGTGGGGAATGAGGAACGAGGGAGCCAGCTCTTCAGCAGGGGGCTCACCCTGGTAGTGAGGCCAGCTAACCTGTCCCTGGGGAATCTTTCAGAGAACCTCCTGTGGTTCACTGAGCTTTTACACGTGCCACCCTCCCCTAAGGGAGAGGACAGCTCAAAGTTAGGAGTGTGGGTAGACCTAAATTCAAAATCCAGCTATCACTTGTAACTTGCTCACAGCACAAAGCTACATAATGTCTCTGTGTGTCAGTTTTCTCACCTGTAAAATGGGGCTAATGAGAATTGCTTCCCTTTTTAATCGCAGGAAATAACGCATGCCAAGCGGTTAACTCAGTGCCCAGCAAATTAAAGTGAGACCAGCTTGCTCATCGCAGTGGTCTGACTTTTAGACATGGCCGTTGTTTGCAAAGATGCTGGTCAGGGAAGGCTTCCTGGAGGAGGGGGAGAGACAGGCTTTACAACTTGGTGTCATCCCAGGCAGGGCAGGAACAGCATGGCGAAGAGAGGGAAGAGTGGGTGGAGCAGGGGCAGGAAGCAGGCCAGCCTACCAGAGCCTGCCAACGGGTGAAGGGCAGGAGTTCCTGGGGCAAGAGTGAGCTCCTCACCCTGAATGCTCAGGGAAGCAGGCGTGCAGGGGTTGTGGGGAGCACACACACTGGGGTCGCCCTTCCTCCCCCAGTTCCCTCCATACCTGACTATGGCCCCAGGGTCCCCTCCCTGCATTTCTACTCTCCCCACCTTTCCTCCCAGCCGTGCTCCCCGCACTCGGCCTCAGGCTGAGGCTCTGGTCAGGTGGACTCTTGAGGTGACTGCAGGCATATTAATAACCTCTCTGAAACCTAACCCTCCATTTGTGCAGACCTCTGAGCTTAGTCAGTAATCTCTTCCTCCTGGGACCCGAGAGAGGGCTGGAGGGAGCTGGCAGTGCAGTGTCAGCTTTCCCTGGAAATGGAACTCAAGGGCCCACCCTGGCAGATGGCTGCTGGACTTATGCTTTCTTTGGGTTCTGTAGGGTTCTAGGGCTGTGATTCCCCCCCTGCAGATGGGCTGAGCCACAGGTGGGTGCCTTAAACAGCCTCATAAATGGGTCCCTCTGAGCTGGTAACTGGGCTCTACCTTCACTGTCCCAGGACACCCCAAGCCTGGTCCTGCCCATTCTAGTTTCCTCAGCCCATGGGGAGGGTCTCTAGAAATTGCTAGATAAGAAAGGACTACAAATAAGTCACAGGAAATATATGCACAAAGCAGTGGTTTTCAACCATTATTACACATCAGCAAAAGAACGTTTTAAAAAGTGCATTACCTGGTTTCACTCTGCAGAGATTGGATTTGGTTGATGGGGGATGGGGGACAGGCAGCTGGATCTTTTAAGAGCTCTCCCAGTGATTCTAATGGGCAGCCAAGCAAAGACTGCAGCTGAAGCTTGTGGCACACCACTGAGACCACATCTTTTTCAGCAGATTGTCCCCTGAACTGTCTGTTTAGCAATACACAGGGTATTTATATCTAAGGCTTTGGGGGACTCATTGTTGTGGGGGCTGGCTAGGGCATGAATGTTGGCTCTGGGATCTGTCACAACCTGGTCCTATGGGACACCCAATCTAGGGTCCTCCTTCCCAGACCAGCATTCTGCCTCCTACTGCTCCTACGGCAGGAGGCCAGGAGGCCATAGGTCGTGACCCATACCAGGTATCTGGGTGCAGGACCAAAGTTGAACCCCCATATTGGGAGGGGCAGGGCTCAGCTGCTTGCAGGAAGGATGTTTGGAAGTGTTGCTTTGCCCCTCCTCCTGTCCGTGCTGAATCCCAGCAATCCTCATTAGGTGTCTGGGTTGTGGAAGGGTGTGAGACAGGGGGCCCTGGCACAGGCAGCATTCTCCCAGCCTCTGTGGCTCCCATATGCAGAGCCCGACCTGAATTCCTCCAGGAACTCTCTGCCCCTCAGGCTGCCACCTGCTTGAGAGCAGAGCCTTTCTGTGCAGATCTGACCTGCCTCCCTGGCCTCCAGCCTGTCCTATTCTGTCTGGGGCCTGAGTGTATATAAAGGGGTCTTTCCTCAGAGATGAAGCCAGTTGTGTGGGTCAGAAGGAAGCACGCCATTCCCAGGTGGCTGTGCCAGGCCTTTGACTGGAGGAGTGTGAGAATGATCAGGCATGGTGGAGCTGCCCTTCCTGGAACAACAGCATGTCTCCTTCCCTTATTCTGGGTCCTGGGTGTGACCCAAATTGTGCTGGACCTCTGCTGGGTATGGCTAGGTGTAGCCCTGTGATTCAGGGTTGAGGGTGTGGAGGGCATCTGCTCTGAGCCAGGTCAGGCCAGGCCGGGCCTGGGGATAGCCCTCAAAGAAGTCACATCTGGTGGGAGATAGATGCGGAGGCAGGGGTTGGGGGAGCCTGGGCCGCCAGGGCAGTGCGTCCACCTGCTCCATTGCTTGGCCTGCTGGGAGTGAGAGTGGAGGCAGAACCCGCCTGGGCTTCCTGTCAGTGGGTGTTGGTGTTGGGGGTAAAGCTGGGCTCTAGGGTTTCATGTTTTTCCAGCATCTCATAGACCTGTCTCCTCCATGCCTTCCCTGACAACTCTTCTCTACAAGCCCATTGACTGAGTCACTCGGAGCACTCTGGTCCAACAAGTGAGTGTCAAGCCCCTGAGTGGCCAAGGAAGGGTTAGGAGTTAAGTGGGAGACTGAGCTAAGGGTGAGAGGGTGCTGGAGTCACTGAGCACAGCTCACTGGGGCAGTTGGGCAGAGGAACTCTGGCTTGGACTGCGCCTGCCTGGCCTGCAATAACCATGCTAACTGGACCAGGGCCTAAAATATAGCTTGGCTACTAAGCTTGACATTTGGCCAAATGCCCGCTAGGAGGCAGGCACTTCCTGCTTCCCTGTCCCCTGCTTCTCAGTCTCCAGTGTCCTTGGAGCAACTGTGGGGTGGGTAGAGGGGTATCTCTCCCAGCTGCTCAGTGAGATGAGACTCCACCTGGCTTCCCCCACCGGGGAAAAGAATGATGACCACAGCAGGAATGAAACGGTCACTCCTGCTGCTCCAACCCTAATTTTTAGTTCAGATTTGCAGGCATGAGTGTGGGTCCCCAAGTGCCCCCCTGTGAATTCTTTTGATGAGGATTGAGGACTCCCCACTGTCTTCTCACTGAGTCCCAGCACCTCTCCCCAACTCCTCACCCCCACCCCTTCCCAGGACCTGCTGAAGCGCACACCTGTGGACCACCCAGACTACCTGCTGCTACAGGATGCCCCCCACATCTCCCAGAACTTCCTGTCCAGCATCAACGAGGACATTGATCCCCGCCGGACTGCAGTCACGACCCCCAAGGGGGAGGCGAGCTCAGAACCCAGTACAGCCTCACGCCCAGGCTAAGGAGCATGGGCTGGACCAGATCCTCTGTCCTTTCTCTCTTTCTCATGGATGTCCCAGCCCTGTGCCCTGTGTCTCTCCAAACTTGATCCCATTCCTGGCCAGGGAGAGGTCTTCAGTCCTAGGTCACCCTGATTACCTATGGCATTTCAGGCCCTGGACTGAGAGCTTTAAGTCCAGTGTCCCATTGATCCTCATAACAGTCCAATGAGGCAGAAGAGGAAACTGAGTCCTGGAGAGCCTCTCCAGGTCTGGGGCAAGATCTCTCAGCCATAATGTCAGAACTGGATTCTTTGCCTGGAGCTCTTTGTCTGCAAGCCCCATGCATTGTCCCTCATATTAGGGAAGCTTGGCCTCTGGATGCCCCATCCTCGAATACAAACACCCTCCTCTGGCCAGTATCATGCTCTCAGGAGTCCCCTAGAGGCTGAGGACACAGGAGCTCCGAGCTGCTTCAAATCGGCCTGCACAAGCAGGAGCTAGGGACTGAGCCAATGTGGAAAGGCTGGTACTGGAGGTGGCTGAGGCTGCCCAAGTTGCTGGACTATCCCCTGGGGCCCTTCTTAGTGGGAGGGTGGGGGTAGCTCAGTGAGGGGGAGCAATGTGAAGAATCAGAGGGTCAGTTACCCTCATGTGTCAACAGACTGGCCCAGATATAATGCTTCCTGTCCAATAGAGGTAATTAAGTGACATTTAGGAGGGAAGCTTGACTGGGTTTATGCTTCTTTGTTACATTTACGAGCTTCCAGTGTCTCTTGGGAGAGAAGTCATGAGGGACAGAGTCTGGAGAGTGACTAATGGGGCATAGAGAGCTGTCTCTGTGCAGTTCCCAGCCCTGGTTTGTAACATCCTGGAATGTCACTAATTTGTTTTATTCTGGGGGTATCTGAAAAATCTCCAGAGGGCTTAGAGCACCATCAGTTCAGATTGTCATAATTGTATACTTTCAACATGCTCACCTACATATTGCGGCATATATAGGTCACACAGCATATAATAGACACAGGGAAGGCTGGGACAGATGTGACAGCTCCAGAAAAGCCCCTGCCTCTGAGAGTGGTGGGGAGGAAACTCTGGAAGTCCTATGTGGAGCAAAATACTCTCGACTGTCCAAGACCCAAGAGGCAGCTTCAGGTCCCCACAGGGTAGCTGCAGCCCCACTGAGGGTAGCCCAGGGTCTCCCATCTGCTGGAGGCAGTGGAAGAATCCACTGAGAAGTAGCACAAAAGGCCTGAGTGGGTCTGCAGGTCAGGTTTGAGTTGAAACTAGATTAACTTCTTATGCTTGGTAGGGAGGGGTTTCAGGAGGGTGGGGAGTTCATGCTCCAGGGTAGAGAAACCAGGTCATTCTGGACTGGGGTCCATCCAGGTGGGAGCTATTGAGAACTGCAGGAAAGTGTAAGGCTACCATTTGCTGGTCACGTATTTTGCGCCAGGCACTGTACTGTTTTACATACAGCATCTTGATGAATCCTACCTGCTGTGGCAGATATCATTATCCCCATTTTACAGATGATAACTCTGAGATTCAGGTCAGGGAACTTGCCTGAGATCACAGCTGAGAAGTGGCAGAGATCCTGTGTCCGTGTGACTCCAAAGCTCTTAACCATCAGGCAGTACAACCCCTCCCTGAGCCCTCCCTAGTGGGACGGTGCCGCCCCCCTCCCCCCCGCCCAGGGCAGGTTGGGCCATTGGCCTGCGCTCCCCTCTGAGCAGGCTGGTGGGGGGTGTGCCGTCTCCCTCAGACGCGGCAGCTGGTGAAGGACGGCTTCCTGGTGGAAGTGTCAGAGAGCTCCCGGAAGCTGCGGCACATCTTCCTCTTTACAGATGTCCTACTGTGTGCCAAGCTGAAGAAGACTTCTGCGGGGTGAGTGTGCAGGAATCCAGGGTCATGGTGGGGGAGAAACCAGACCCCTGCCCCTGTGAAGCCCTCAGCAAGCTCATGCAATCTGTATTTTTTTCTTTTTTAAAAACATATTAATTACTTTTATTTCACTACATGCTCTTTTTCTAAAAACAAATCATCTTTTTAATTATAAAGATAATATAAAGACATTATAGAAAACACTATCGCCCACCCGAACATCAGCTTCAGTCTCCTGCTGCTGTATTTCCTTCTCATTTTTTTTAACGTTCTTATGTTTTTTCATACTGCTATAATCAGAGTGAATGCCCAATTTGGGGCTCTGCTCTTTCTATTTCACATCATAAGCATTTTCCCTGCTGCTGCCTAATCTTCATAATCATCATTTTACTTTCCTGCATGATGTTACAAGTGGATATGCCATAATTGACTTAGCATTCTTCTTTTATTAGACATCTCTAAATTTTTGCTAACTGCAATTCTGTGAATATTCATTAAATCTACTGCTACCATTTATTGAGGATTTATGTCATACCAGGTGCCATGACAAGTGCTTTGAATACATTATTTCTAATCTTCCCAACAACTCCATAAAGTAGTTATTATTATCCCCATCTCACAGATGAGAGAAAAGCCTTAGAGAAGGTAAATAAGTCACCCAAGGCCACACAGCTAGAAGTGGAGGAGATGGGATCCGAACCCTAATGTAACTTGAAGGCTGCTTTCCACCTCCTTCTCTATACGCGGAAATGTGGGTCTGCTCTGTGCCATGAGCAGAGGAGGTTATTCATTATTCATTCACACATTCTTCCAGCTACATTTACTTATCACCTACCATGTGCCAAGTACACCACCTTACAGTACAGGGGGAGATAAGCCATGCACTCACTACAGCACTGAGGGACCAGAAGGAGAGGTGCAAATCTAACTACTGGGGGAAATCAGAGAAGGAGAAATTGTTGTGAGCTTCAATAAAGACTTCAGTCCACAGACTCTGAAAAAATTAAAATAAAAAAATAAAGGGCATGACTCCCTGAAACTAGATCACATTTGAGATAATTCTAAAGCAGAGATGGCAATAATAATCATACATGCCTGTGCCTTCAGTCCTTTGCCCATGGCAGACATTAGTAATCAACCACAGCACTCTTTCCCATTAGGCTTGGAATTTCCCACTAGGCTTTACAATTCACAACCCAGTGTCCCTTTGACCTCTATTGATTGGAGCTCGCATTCAGAATAATATCCGTATTTCCTCTCTAGCCTAAAGGATAATGAATGTGAGCTAAGTATAGATAGGCTAGAAGGAAGGGAAGCATATGGGACAGGGAATAGGAAAGTGTGAGCCCAACCAAGAAGGCTTCACTCTTCTCAATGCCCAAGTAGTTTTGTTTGTTTAAAAATGTCAGATGTACTGGGCCAGAAGTCTGCCATGGCACAGGATCAGAGCCCTTACTGCTGGCTGTCCCCAGAACCTGACTCTCTTTACTCCATGTGTGCGTATTTCCTGATCAAGCTCCTCAAGGGCAGAGGTCAGTCTTGCTTATTTTTTTGGCTTCAACAACACAAATTTATTACTCACACTTCTGAAGTCTGTCAGTCCAAGATCAGGTTATCTGCAGGGTTCATTTTCTTTTCTAAAGCATCTCCCCTGGGCTTGTAAATGGCCATCCTCTCCCTCTGACTTCACATAGTTTTTCCACTCTGTTTATCTGTGTCCTAATCTCTTCTCATAAGAAAAACAGTCTTATTGTATTAATGCCCACAAGTGACCATATTTTACCTTAATTACCACTTTAAGAGACCTGTCTCCATAAGCAGTTACATTCTGGGTGCTAAAACTTCAACATATGAATTTTGAGGGGATTCAATTCAGTCCATAACACTGAGCACCTAGATTAAACCTAACTTAACACCTATTGATTTTTTCAAATACATTATCCAATAAATTTCTTTTATCATAGCCTATTTGAGATTGCTTTCCCATTACATGTCACTAAAAACATCCTACCTGATATAACACTTTAACATTATTGATTATTTTCAGAATTATAGGACACTGAAAAACTATACATTACAAAAAAGGATACAAACACAATCAAACCGATGTCACTTTATGCAAAACTAGACAAGGTTTGTTAGAAATTGTAATCAAATTCAAGAATAATATATAATAGTTTAAGCTTAAAAGAGCCACTACTTCTTCAAAGCTAGGTCTCCAAATCTAAAATATGCCTATACATTGCTTTCAAGAAACTTCATTTTTTTTTCTTAATTGGAAAATTTTTTATTCTTTTTAATTTTAAAAAATTTTTATTTATTTATTTTTAATGCTTCTTTTCCCTCTCCCTCCATTCTTGCTTCTGATGAGCTCAGTCAATCCATTTGGGATGTTTTGTTTTTTGGTTCTGGGGCCAACAGTTCAGGCTTGAAGAGCCAGCTTCCTTCTGGCTCTTCTCTCCTTCCAGCTTGTTTGCAGGAAGCACCAGCAGTCTGACTGTAAGTGGTACGTCCCCCTGGCAGACTCAGTGTTTCCATCCCCCAAGGAATCTGAGGCCAGCCCCCAGGTGCACCCCATCCCAGACCATGAGCTGGAGGACATGAAAACGAAGATCTCTGCCCTCAAGAGTGAAATCCAGAAGGAGGTAAGTAGAGCCTGGCATCTAGTAGAGTGTGGGATCATTCTTACTGTGTCCTTTCAAACTGGCTACAGAGGGGAAGGTGGAGGGAGAGAAAGTTGTAAGGTTTGAGAGTTTGATAAGGGAGGCAGGATGCAAGGGTGCTCAGATTTAAATGGGGTTAATTATGGAAAGTTTCCTGGAGAACAGCGTATGTTCAATGTTGTAGAAGAGGGAAGCAAGAGGAGAAGAAAAAGAGGGCTTTCTTAGGAAAAAGAGGAACATGTGCAAGAAAAAGGACCTGGGAGGCCTCTCAGAAACTGACAGATCAAGTAGGCAAATAAATAAGGAGAGAGGGGACCTGAATACCACAGTTAACATGCTTGATCTAAAAGTGCACAGAAGCTTGTTCCCTGATGGAGGACTAAGATTCTTGTCACACACACACAGAGAGCATTCATTTGTCCTATATTAGGCCACAAAGAAAATCTCAAATTTTTTTCAGAAAATTGATAGCATGTTCACAGGCCACAGTGCAGTAAAATTAAAAACCCACAACTAGAATATTAGTAATTACATGGCTGGAAAGTCAAAACTTTCAAGTTAAAGAGGAAGTCACAATAGAAACTGCAAACTATTTAGAACGGCACAAAAATGAGGGTATTACAAACCCAAGGGATGCAGCCAAAGCGCTGTTGGAGGAAAATGTGTAGCCTTGAACTTATGCATTTGAAAACAGTGGCTGCAGGAAAGCCTCACGGGAGGAGTGTCCCCAGTGAGTGGAAGGAAGGGTGCAGGGTGGTCTGGTCGGCCTGGTCTCGTCCTCACCCGTCCAAGCTTGGCTTAGGCTTCCCTCCCCTGGGAAGCCTTGTTTAAGGCTCCACAGTCTGGGTTGGGTGCCCTGCCCCCAGTTCCCGATGTGCACCTCTGGCTTTGCTTTTGTGGTACTGAATTGTAATGCATGGTCAGCCTTTTCTCTCCCCCACTAGAATTTGAACTTCAGTGAATGGGCTGTTTTCTTCAGTTCTATGTCCTTAGTATTAGCACATAAGAAATCAGAGCTAGTAAACGATTATTGAGGAATACATGACCAGATGACCTCTAAGGATCCTTTCAACTCGGACATCTCTCTTTGAACAGGGGAGAGGAAGACCCCAGTTATAACCTCGAGGGTGGTTGGGGCAGGGGGATATCCTAGGACTGAGGGTCTGATAGGGGTGCATCTGCCCAGAGGGAGCTCACTGCCCAGCACGGTGTCTTCCTGGATGGCAGGGCTCCAGCCTGCTTCAGTTAAGCCTGTTTCCCCATCTGGTGCTGCCCACCACTCCCCCCAGGAGTATCCTGCGTGCATGTTTCTCACCCAGTCCCGGGAGCCCTCAGGCTGTGTGCCCCAGGTGTGCAGATGTGGCCTTCTGCTCAGTCAGGTCAGCACCCCCTCCGCTGGCTGCAAGACAGCTAAAAATTTTTAAAACAATTTTTTTTTTCTATTCACCAGTGTAATACTGGTTTGTTATAACTAGAAATGCCCTCAATACCGAAGCGTATAAAGTAAAACTGGCCATTACCCACCTCCCACTGTTAACAGTTTAAGGTATATTCTTGTACTTTATGTGCTTATATTGGTGTGTGTGTGTACACACACACACACACACACACACACACACACACACACTTTTTTTTTTTTTTAAATGAGACTGGACTATATGTACTATTTTGCAACTTAAGCTTTTCACTTAAGGTACACCTTAGAACTCTGGACCTATCAGGTTCTTTTTAACAGCTGCATGATATTCTGTTGCTTGACTGCACAACAATGTGTTTGGATATTTAGATAGTTTCCGATTCTTTACTCTTAGCAGGCAAGTCTACAGTGAACATCATTGCACTCATATGTCTGTAGTAGATTCCCTACAACTGGGATGGCTGAGGCAAAGGGCCTGTGCATTTACTTGCTAGATTTACCTTTGAAAACGTTGTATTCATTTTCATTTCCCCCTGCAACGTCACACGGTCACAGCACTGGCTATGAGAATCGTTACAATTTTGCCAGCCTAGTGAGTTAAAAAAAATGCTACAGAGATTAATTCTAACTGAGGAGCTGAGGACAGCACTGGAACTGAGACATAAAGCATAACAGCGATTAATAAAAGGGAGAGGATCCTTTATAAAGTAGATATAAACTTGGAAAATTGGAGAAGAAGGGTGTGCCAGCGGAGAGGGAATGTCTTAAGAGAATGCACTGAGGGGGTTGTGGTTGTGGTGGGATTTCTGGCCAAGCACAGAGGCTGGACCCCAGCCCTGGGAGGCTCTGGTGCCAAGCCAGCAGCAAGTACTTCATGCTGAAAGATGTCTCACATTTTTAAAGCAGGATATCTCTACTGTACCCAGGATTTAATTTATAGAGGTGACAGTGACAATATAGTGAGGCTAGTGCCCCTGAAAGATTTTTATTACTGCCGTTTCTAGGAGAAAGAGACATACCACACCCCACAGGGCTGTGTGTGGAGCACCAGGTTGGGACAGGAGGCAGGAGGGGGCAGGGGGAGCACAGGCCACAGCTCTACCATGTTTCCCGTGGGAGAAGCAAGGCAGGGCAGGGGGAACGGCTTAAGACTGGCTGGTTTGAATGTCGGCGAGCTCCAGGCTGTAGGGGTGGTCTCTAGTTATCTGACCCCTCACCCTGAGTCCTGGTCCCTGAGTGATTCAGAGCAGAGGAAATACTGGCTTGGTGGGGGAGAGTTAGACAAAGGAGGTAGCTGGGGAAAGGTGTGCTCACAGGGGTGTCATTTACAATCTTAGCAGTTAGCCCTGGGAGGAGCAGTTTCTCCTCACCCAGCCAGGCCCCCACCAAGAAGTTAAAACATCATAAAATGCAGAAAATAAAAAACATGACCAATACGCGGGGGCATGTTGTGCTTAGAGCTGCTGAATGTGAAGTGGAGTGTGAGTGTGAGGGAAACCGCCTGTGCCCCCTCCTCCTGCAGAATGCCAACAAAGGGCAGAGCCGGGCCATCGAGCGCCTGAAGAAGAAGATGTTTGAGAATGAGTTCTTGCTGCTGCTCAATTCTCCCACTATCCCGTTTCGGATCCACAATCGGAATGGAAAGGTCAGGAAGGATGGGGTGGGATAAAGACAGCCCCTACCTCAGTCCAGGACTGTCTACTCTCTGTGACTCCTGGCCCTCACCTGTGGGAATCCAGGACTGAGGTGCCCACTTCCCAAGGAGGCTGCCATGGCTCCAGCCCTGGACTCCCTGTCCCCACTGGTATGGAGCCAGTGCGTTCTGCTGGCCATCCCTGGCACTACCACTCCTGTCACTCGGCTTCCCAGGAAAGAGGCCACCATTCCCAGCTGTCTCCTCCAAGCTCAGGGATACCTGGATAAGGAGGAGCTTTATTGGGGGCCCCAGAATCCAGAAATATGCTTGGCCCAACTGTGGTCGCCCCACTGAATTCTCATCTCCTCTCTTCAGAGCTACCTGTTACTATTGTCCTCGGACTATGAGAGGTCAGAGTGGAGAGAAGCAATTCAGAAACTACAGAAAAAGGGTAAAGTCCTGCCTCACTCTGTGTTGCCAGATGGTGTCCATGGCAATAATGGGCCTTTTGTATTTCCAAGCATTTGATGCTCAGTATCTTTTCTTTGGCCCTTACAGTCAACTTAGAAGATGCCAGGGAATTGGCGCTTCATTTATGTTACTGATCGATTGGGATCCAAAGAATTTAAGTGATTTGCTTAAGGCATATGATGAATTAGTGATAGGACTGGACCCAGAGCCCAGGGTTCTTTTGCTGTTTCTCTCACTCTCTCTCACACACATACATGAACCTGTTCAATTAAATTCTTCTATTTTTACCCTTCTGCCAGCACCCACAATAGTCCCCATGGGTCTACATGTCTTTCCCTCCCCTGTCCCGACCCACGGGATATTCAATGCAGACCCTGGAGGGGGGAGTGGGAATTGGATGGGACAAGAGATGCGAGAGATGGGAGACAAGACAGTATTCTGATCAAGTCTCGTTTATTGATTCTTAGGTTACATCTTATATAGGAAAAAGCAAGCATATTGTAAGGAGTTAGGAATGCAGGAATATGATAAGATCTTGAGAAGAAACAAAGTCAGAAAATCTCTGATGCAAAGAAGCCCCCAATCTTTACAAGAAAGCAGAAACTTGGAAGGAGATAAGAGGTCACTCTTGAGTAGACTTGCATAGCCAGGAGCACAGCGTCCCAGGCACAAACAGATTATGAGGCAGACATCACGTAAGCATGGCCATTTGGCGCAAGCAGGTTGTCACGCAGGCACGGTCACACAAGGAGGGGTGTGGGGCTACAGGCTCCCAACACTCCCCCACAAGGACTTTGCCTCTAGCAGTATGCTGTCTTCCTGCAGCAGTCCCCAAGGAAGAGCAGCAGGACCTAGTGGACCAGTGCTGATGCTACCTCCTCTTCTGCTTTCTCTTTCAGATCTCCAGGCCTTTGTCCTGAGCTCAGTAGAGCTCCAGGTGCTCACAGGATCCTGTTCCAAGCTTAGGACTGGACATAACTTTCCTGTCACCAGCAATAAAGACAGTAAGATCTGGAACCCGAGGCTGCCCAACCAGCAGGTCCCAGCCCCCAGGGCATTGCTGGGGCCTTTTGCAAAGACCCAGACAGACACGTGGCTGCAAATGGCTAATTTCTACTCAACTGAGCTGGGACTATTCAGTTGCCAGGTACACAGAAAGCTTGAATAGGAGTTACTCTCTATTGAGTCCCCAGATGGCCCCCAGCTCCTCCTCAGCCCCCCTATGGCTTGAGAGAAGAATCTGGCACCCAGGTGCACTGGGATCGTGTTGTTTATATGTTCATGAGGCAGTCCGGTAATGGAAGCAAAAGACTGAAGCATGGGGCGGTGGGGTGGGGGAAAGAATAAGGTAGATGGATTAGAGCAGTACATGAGAAATAAGGTGGGAAGTTTCCAGGGACCAGATCTTGGAAGGCCTTGAAAGCCAAGCAAGGGAGTTAGGAGTTCTGCTGTAAACTGAGGAAACTATGGGAAGTTTTCGAGCAAGGGGGAGCTGTGATCCTGGCTGACAGCTGACTCAGAGTGGGTGGATTCTAGCTGCCCATGGTGCTGGGAAGGGGTATAGCCTGTGTCCTATGCAGGGGTCGAGCTGGGCCTTCTCTCTTCCAGGAACACAAAGTGACTTTTCAGGGAGTGGCTGATTAGAGTACAGTACTGATCGCACCGAGGTCCAGGATTTAGATCCTCTTACCAGACAGCTGCCCAAAAAAGTGACATCTTATTGGTCAGTTTTCACTTTCAAAGACTAAACTGAGGTGGGCAGCCATGGGATAGGTAGCATTCAGAGGGAGGAACAGTGTCACTGGGGAATGGTACGAAATCCCTGGCCCAGGACGGTAGCTGTGGGCCGGCCTCCCGGGCTGAGTGGGGGGAGAAGGGCCCCCAGCACTCCCCAGAGCAGCTCACATCGGAGGAAGCAGTGGGCTTTGGAGACTTTTCCAGCCGGCCACCAGGTGGTGCTGTCAGCCACGGCTCAGGCTGTCCTCCAGCCTGGGGTGGAGGAAGGGGCGAGCCTCTCTCCACCCCCTACCCTGGGGGCTTTTCTTTCTTGCAGACGACGAGTCTCCGGGGCTGTATGGCTTCCTGCATGTCATCGTCCACTCTGCTAAGGGATTTAAGCAGTCAGCCAGTAAGTGCCCCTGACCCACCCGCCCTAGGAAGGGTTTATCTTTTCACAGAAGGTCCCTGTGGACCCATTGTGGGGACCTCCCGTTGCTCACTTGTCCTGCTCTGGTCTGCCCAGGCTGGGGCTCTGCCAGCATGTCTTGAGATGTGTGGTGCGCCCCCAAAAGCCAGGAACCAGCTTCTCTTGGCAGGGGGATCACCCCCACCCTCTGTCTCCAAGGTCCACTCTCCCCCAAGCTTCTCCTCCAGGTGTCTGAAACCTTGGAGATGCAAACAACTGGACTCCAACCCTGTATCTGCCAGTTATAAGTTGTGTGACCTTGGGCACGTTTCTTAACCTCTCTGAGCCTCAGCTTCCTTCTCCATAAAAGGCAATCACACTCACTAATACTGACCTGAGAGCAGACTTAGATTTGACCGCGTATGGGCAGTGCCAGCGCACTGCCACACATCCCTTTCCTTCCCCTACTTTATCGTCATCTACGAAGTAGCACCATAGATTTAGTAGATCTGTTTCTAGCGTTTCACAAAATATGACTACATATTTTGTCTACTTTTTATTCACACAGGAATTTGTGAGTCAGATAGCTAATAGTTTCTACCCATTTGCCAGATGAGGAAGCTGAGTCCCAGAGAGGTAAAACGACTTAACATCACACAGAATCAGCAACCCAGGGCTCCTGACTCCTTTCCTCTCCGCCTGCCCCCTCCCAGTCCCTTCTCTTCCTCTCTGGCAGGCGAGGCCTGCCCCAGCCTCTCTCCCTGCAGTGCACCATGCAGAGGTTATGCCAATGGCCCACAAACAGCCATTCGATCAACATTTACTGTGAAGCCTCCCCGAGTTCCTGGGGTGACTCAGCCTCCCCTCCCCGTGTCCTCCTCATACTCAGGCAAAATGTGGTTACAGCACCCATCATGCTGTTTTGTCACTTCTAATTTGCTTCTCCCACTGTGAGTTCTTTGAGGGCAGGAACCAGGTCTCCTTTATCCTTGGATGAATAGGAACTCAGAAATGCTGAATGAAGTAGTTAATTTATAGAGCGCCCACTGTGTACCTGGGGAAAACGAGAATGTGGCCAGCATGTGGACAGTGCCTTGGCCTGTCCAAAGCCTGTTCAGGTTCATTACCTGCTCTGATCCTCTGATTCCCTCTGAGGTCACGGATATCATTCCTGTTTTTTACATGGTGAAGCTGAGGCTCAGAGGGCTCAAGGGACTTGCCAGGGTTGCACAGGTCATAGGTGGTACAGTAGAATCCACGCTTTCCCCTTAGACCATTTCCTGGAGTCTGGCCAGGACCACTCACTCATCACTTGGACTGCTTGTTAACATGGCAGCTTCCTGGACCCTCCCCAAACCGATAGAATCTCCTTCTTGGGAGCCGCTGTCAGGAGTTTTCCTGGTTAGTAAGCTCCATAGGGCTGATAAATGGCCAAGTCTGCTCGGTGGGCCAGGTGCCTCCCACCTCCACAGCGCCCAGCTGTCTTGCCCTTCCTCTCTGTCCTGCTTCCCGTTGGCTGGGATGGGCCCCAGGGAGCAGGCCCATGGAGCTGGAGCAGGTATTTTGCCTCCCAAACTGGGGCAGGTGGCTAGAAACAGGGTGAGCTGCCACAAAATCTCCCCTTACCTCTGGATTATCTTCACTTCCTTCTCCTGCCCCCTGACCCACTCAGGTGTTCATTCTGACTCGGGGGTTAGGCCCCATGAATCTTTAACCACGGCTTCTTGTCCTAGTGAATGTGTTACATCTGGACAGTCAGGCCTAGGGTGTGGGCACCACTATTGTTCCTCTTCTACAGATGACAGAACTGGGGGAGAGAAGTTAGGTGACTTGGGCACAGTCAGGCTTTGAACCCAGACAGCCTGACTCTAAAGCCCCACTTTGATTCCGTGAGCTATTCCCCAGTCCTGATGGAGGCTTCACTCACCAGAATCAACTGGTGATGGCAGCACTTCTTGCCCCTCCACCTCTCAGCCACATAGACCCGCTCCTGACCTGGCACAGGCTGGGGTGCTCTGGCCTCTGGCACTGTTCACCTGTTAATCTGTGACCATATTCCAGTGTGTTCTGACACCCACTTGGCTCTGCTTTGTGTTGCACCCAGCTAGAGACTTCTCAGGGTGCAAGCTGCAGTCTGCCTTCCACAGGAAAGCTCTTCAGGTAGAGAGCAACCCAGCTGGACAACTCCCAGAGCTGAGCAGAGCAGGCAGCCTGAGCTGTACGTCCACCCTCTGACCTCTGCCCCTTGCCCCTTGATTCATGCAGAGCGTTGGCTGTAGTGCCTCAAAGACATGCCCAGCCCCACCAGTACCCTGGGAAACAACCCTGGCAGCTCCCGTGGAGGTGGGGAGGGCTGCCAGGGTCTGAGCCCCAGAGGGAGTGTGTGGATTTGCAGCGTGCCTGAGGTGGGCACCATGCAGTGGCCTCATCAGTTGGGTCCCAGGGTAGAGAGGAGATTTTCAGCCTATAGGCCATGGTTCAAGATGGAAACACTAGGGAAAGTCCTCTGCCCCCTGCCCTCCTGCCCTCCCCCTCCACTACTTTGTTACCTTGGGTAAGAGTTTCATTCACTCATCCCGCAGACATTCACTGTGTGCCTACTGTGTTCCAAGCTCTGTTCTTGGTACCAAGGTTGTGCCAGTAGATAAGAAAACCCAAGGCTTCTACCCACCTGGAGTTTATATTGTGGAGGGAAGAGAGATAGTGAACGCACAGACAGCAAAGATAACTTCAGTTAAAGTTAAGTGCTTTGAAGAAAACAACAAACTGAGCTTTGGGGTTGGGGGCATTCTTGGTTCTCGCAGTGACTGGAGGTTACTCCAGGCATCAGGACCGAGAGGCCAGGGTTGCTAAATGCCTTCCAGTGCCTCCCAACTCAAATGCCAGTGACATCCCTGTTGAGAAACCCTGGGATTGGTGTTGCGGGGAGTGAAGACCTGGAGATGAGGGCTCCATGGTGAGGAGGAACCAAGCAAAGACGGGGATGAGGAGACAGAAGCTCTGGTGCCATGTGCTGGGAGTAGCTCAGCACTCAGGAGGCCAGGGCTGCAGGGAGGAGAATGCCACGATGCTTCCCCATGGGGATGTTAGGAAGGACACATGTAATGTCCCTCTTCCTTCCTGAGCCCCTCACCAGCACCACCCTACCCTGACCCTGTTCCTGGGCCTCTCAGGCCTTACTCAGTGTGTCTCTGTCCTTCCCCCTGCAGACCTGTACTGTACCCTGGAGGTAGATTCCTTTGGTTATTTTGTCAGCAAGGCCAAAACCAGGGTATTCCGGGACACAACAGAGCCCAAGTGGGATGAGGTGAGTCAAGGGGGTTGGTGTCCCTGTGGGGAGCCCTGAGTTTGTCACCAAGCATGCCCAGCCCACTCCCTGTGCTCACGACCTGTCTGCTGGGGACAGCCAAGCCTCTTGGTTAGACCAGCTCTGTCTCTCTAATGCCCTTGACTTTCACTCCTTGCGCATCTGGTTTCTAATCACAGTGCTTGTGACACTGGGGTTCCAGCTCAGGCCCCCAAACTCCGTTTCACCAGTGATGTGGAGGCTCCTGAGAGCTCCAGAAAATGAGGATGCTCCTCCATGTCCTGTGATGTGGTCCTCATGGTCCCTGCTCACCCTGCCCCTGCAAAGTGGGGGCCCACCCCTGCCAGGAAGCCAGGTCTCCCCAGCTTCAGAGATTCACCACCCTTTGTTCCATCTCCCCCAGGAGTTTGAGATTGAGCTGGAGGGTTCTCAGTCCCTGAGGATCCTGTGCTATGAGAAGTGCTATGACAAGACCAAGGTCAACAAGGACAACAACGAGATTGTGGACAAGATCATGGGCAAAGGGCAGATCCAGGTGAGTGCCCAGGTACCCGGGCGAGGCTGGGGGCTCCCGGGAGGGGCAGCAGTTGAGAAGGCGTCTTCCTCAGTCGCCTTCTCGGTCAACGTGCTTGGCCTTTTGTGACTTCGGTTCAAAGCTGGTCTGAGAAAAGTTCCCCGTGGCAATTACCTTCCCTGCTGGAGATGGCTTCTTACTGTAACCCCAGAAGCCCACGTGGCTCCCAGGCTCAGGTGGATCGTCCACACTTCTGCAAGATGGATGGGAGGGATGACAGCTACCTTGTGTTCACATTCCAGCCTTAGTCTTTTGGTGGCTTTTTCCTGGAACACTGTTGAAAGGGATTCTGAGGCCATATCCATGAACAGGAGGGAAGGGTGCTGTGTTTGATGAGCATGTCTGCCATGGCGTGGGACAGGAGTGAGGCACACGTCCTGGGCATTGGCCGTTCTACCAGAAAGGTCTAGGATCCAGCTGAGGGCTGGGCTCTGACTTGTTGCTAGGGCTGCTGTAGCTTACTCACCTGTGCTGGGAGTCACTGGCTTAGGGTGGGCTCTCTGGATATCAGTAAAGGCAGGTCCTCGTCAGGTTAAGAGTATTTATGCCTCAGTGTGTTTCCGGTGCCCTATAAATGTATGAACAGAAAAGGCCCTTGTTTGTAGCCCGTGTGTCTGGAACATCCTGCCAGTTCTGAAGATGGCTGCTGTTCACTTACCTGTCGAGAGAACTAGGCTTGTGGTGGAGGGGCAGCAGCGGTGGTGACATTCAGCAGGGAGCATCCACTTTCCTATCTGACACCTTGTGTGACCTCATACTTATGACACAAGTGGCCTGGTTTGGGGGTAGATTCTGCAACTATGAAATCAAAGGAAGCAATAATTGGTACTCAGCGGGATGGAGCCACAGGAGTGATCTGGGTGCAGGCTGTGATATCCCTGGCTACAGCAGGGAGTGGAATGATGCTTTCTTACAGGAAGTGTTCATTCTCTGATGCATTATTGAAGCTGCAGAGTTTAGAATCTGGGTGTCCTGGGTGGCATTACCCCTTGGGGACCTATGCGGGTCTCCTGCTCCCTCCACCTGTCTCAGACTCTAGTGTTTGAGCAGTGGGTATGACACCATGGTCGGGAGGGGGCCTGGCCATCTGCTTCATCCTGCCCCATATTCCTGAACACGTCCCTTCCTGATGCTCTGGGACCTGCACCCTGCTCCTCTGCACTATGGCTAGGGAAACAGTGCTGCAAGGCAACCACAAGCCAGTCTTTCATCATTTAGGAAATGGGGGCTGATGAGAGAGCTTTCTAAATTCAGTTCCTGGAATCTACTCTCTGCAGGGATAAGGGGTGGGAGCCCCATCTCCACTTCCCAGAGCTGGGCTGGAGGGACAGGCAGGGAAGGAGCTCTGACAGCCCTAGAAGACATCCGACCAAGAGACAAGATGGGCTGTCACCCTCCCTGGGCCATTGGTGGCTGTGGAATGGAAGCATTAAAAAGGGTGTCCAGGGAAGCCAGCTCAGTGGGCACTGTAGACCCTGACCCCTCTAGAACTCAGATTCCAGGGCCCGAGAGCAGCAGTCTCCCCACCTGGGTGTCAGCTCTGTCGTCTCCCTTCTTCTCACTCAGGTGCACGAGCTCCAGGGGAAACACACCATAAATCATCATATTTGGGAGACAGGAGCAGATGGAGGTGTGGGGGAGGGGAGGAAGCCAGGTTATGTTTGGCAGAGCAGAAAGCACAGTTTGGTAAGGAACAGGTTTCTGTGTTTAAGCTTCGAGGAATGTTAAATGCCTGTGAGTTGATAGCACAAACCTTCCTGCTGCCAGCTGACCTGGGTCTGTGAGCGGGCAGCTTGGAGCCAGGGTCCTCTGGAGGCCTTTGAAGTCTCCCAGCACTCAGCTCTCCAAGGCACAGCTTTTGGACCCAGCTGCAAAGCCATCCTACCAGCCTTCCCATGTATCCAGGAGGGGGAGGGGGTGTCCCCCCGGGGTGAGCCGTGGCTCAGAAAGTCCTTCCTGTGAGTGCCCTCAGAGCCTCCGAGAATGGCCTGGCTGGGTGGAGAGTCTGCACCAAGCTGTTCCCACGTGGCCAGGCCCCTTGGAGCACAGATGGTCTGTTCCCACAGTCCACTCCCACCTCCTTTCCTGCCACATGTCCAAGGAAGGGAACTGGCACCAGCCTCTGGAGCTGGGGCCTGCTCGCCTTCAGCAGGCACTGAGGCAGAGCGGAAGGTGGCCTCACCATAGGACTGAGTCCTTGGGGACATTCGGGTGGCCTGAAGGAAAGGCAGGGGGAAGAAGGCCCTCCTCTGTTGTCCCCACTTCTCTCTAAGCCCCCTCCCACTAGCCTGTCCAGGGAACAGTGAGAGACACCAGTGCCTAAGATCCAGGCATTTGCTCCTGTGATGAGTCTCCGTCTCTGGGTTTGCCTGATGTGGCAGTGGGGGCAGGGAACCTAGAGTGGCAGGCTAGGGATGGGGCAGGGAGTGGGGACAGCATTTGGTGACAGACAGATGGCAGTGCTAATCATCTACATGTGTGTCCCACACTTATGCTCTTGGAGGCCCATTCCCAAATGTTATCTCATGTGATCCTTGCAACAGCTCTGCAAAGAAAATGACAATCATGTCCTCCCCATTTTACAGAAGAGGACACTGAGGCACTGAGGTTAAGTACCTTAGCCAAGGCACTTCTGCTGACAGTATGCAGGGAAGGCCATGCTCTCTCCTCTGTGTGGTGCCCCTTGTCCTAGGCCTTCATCAAGAATCTCCCAACCTGGGCAAAGGGCCCTGGCATGGCTAGTGGCCTGGGAGAAGAAGCCTGCTTTATGGCATAAGGTGAGCCTAAGGCTTCCTTTGTCTGGGCTCCCGTCACCTCTGGGCAGAGGACATTTCTGCATGGAAGTAGAATGAGTGTGCATGGAAAAGAGCAGGGGAGGGGGGACTTACTGTGTATTTGCACTAGGCCCAGCATGGGCCGACTGCTCTGAGAGCTGCAGGGTCCTGCCCTTGAGGAACCTCCTGTCAGATCGGAAAGACAAGTACATGGATATATGCCAAGCCATGAGAGAACAACACACAGTGCCAGAAAGGGTGACGGTGATGACATCAGAGAGCTCCCAATGACAATACCACAATTATAGACATGGGAAAGCCGAGTCACGAGGGATTAAGTGACCGGTCAATGCCATGCAGCCAGGACTTGGCCGGGCTGGCAGCTGGCTCCAGAGCCCATCCGCAAATGCCCCGCTGCCTCCCACGGTTCTGTAAGGAATAAGACTGGAAGCCTGTGCCTCAAGAATTCAAAGAAGGAAGGGTCATTTGGGCTGGAGTTCCGGATGCTTCAAGGAGGAGATGGAGCGAGAGGGATCCCAGAGAGCCGGGTTTTTTATTTCCAAAAGCAGTGCTTACATTAGAAAGAAAAGTGCAGTCCTAGTAAAGAGACCTGAAACAGTCACAACCACATCTGCTCCCACTCCTCCCAAACAGCCATTCTAGTTTGTGCCCTTTCCCTTCCTCAGGAACGTAGATTTTTATATAGTTTTATTCATAGTGTGCATTTTACGTTTTTTTCTATTTTCCCATAATATTATCCTAGCCTCCTTTTTTCTAGGGCTGTATGTCTGTCGTCTTCATGAGTGCCTTTCTGATACACTCTCAAAAGTACTTTATGTATTTTATGTCAGTTATTTTCTATAACGACCCACACAGTAATTGCCATTTTAAGGCTCTGTGTTGTTCTAGCAAGGTGGGCAGCCTCTGGATCAGCAGAAAGGAGTGGGGTGGGCATTCTGGGGGAAGTACCCGCACTCGTGACTGGCTGATTTCACTTAGCATAATGTCCTCAAGCTTTATCTTTGTTGTAGCATGTGTCAGAATTTCCTTTCTTTTCGAGGCTGAATAATATTCCATTGTGTGTGTATACCACATTTTGTTTATCCATACATCCATCGATGGCCATTTGTTTGTACCTTAGGTCTTCTTGCTTTTTGGTGAGAGAAAGAGCATAGTCTCTGAGGATGGAGATTTTTTGGTCTCCCCTCTCCCACTCCACATATGTTTGTCACTCTCAACTATAATAAGAGAGCAGGGCCCAATGACCCCAGAGACAACTGGCCACTATTAGCCTCGTATAGTTGAGGAAACAGTTGAGACACTCTGGCCTCCTTTCGCCCAGGTTAGGTGTCCCCAGTTCCTTGACTTTTCTTTCCTTGGGTCTCCTGTTTGTCCTCCCCTGGGTCAATGGCTTAGATGTGCTGAGTGTGGAGCGCGGTTACCCTGATGCTGTGGGAAGAGCACTGCACTGAGGATCAGAAGACCAGTTCCTGGTCTTGACCTCTTAGACCCTCAGTTTCTTCTTCTATTAAATGGGGATAACTGCTTCCACTCTGCCCTCATCACTGGCTTATTGTGAGGTTCCAAGGATGGAACGTACCCGAAAGAGTTGGTCAGAGCTGGAACACTCCATGCTTCCACTAGTTTATTCATTCATTTCTGTTTATCGAGTGCCCTCTAAATGGCAGGCACTGTGCTGTATATACAGACAAAGAACAGGACCTCACCATCCAGTAGAGAAAACGAAAGAGGATCTTGATCATTCAGCCTGCACTGAAGGGCCTTTGAGGCCAGACAGATCCGGGGCTCAGAGTCTAGCTTTCTCCATGCGTTAGTTGGGAGAACAGGGTGAGTTACTTTATCTCTCTGAGCTTCAGTTTCCTCACCTATAAAATGAGCTCTAATGAGTACTGAATGTGAGCAGCCAGCCAGAGTCAGTACTTGTTTAATGACAAGGACCCTTTGCACTAAGGTGGCAGGTTCAGGTACCCTGTCCCCCACCTTGCTCCAGGGATTCTGAGTGTATCTTGTCAAGCAGTCCCCCTCCTAAAGGCTGTCACCTGCGAGTGACCCCAGTGTTTTGGCCTTTGATAACTGAGGCTGCCTCTGTTTTCTTAAGCTGATGGAGTCAGAGCCAGCTTTGGTGAACTGACCCCAGAGTGGACAGGGAAGACATCGTTGGGGCCT